TTCGCTGCATAAATTGCCCATTCACGACGTATACCGCTACCCTTTCCCATTGCGGCGCTTCCCACGTCCGCGCTCCGAGTGCCCGCATGCTCGGCGTGTCTGTAGGCGAGCTGCTCCGCTCCGATGTCAGTCCAGCTCACGGCACTGCGCTGGCCGTGCGGCGTTAGCCTGGTGTCGGGTACTCCCCGCCGCCCCCCGGCCGCCCTGCGGCTCCGTCCGACCCCCCACCACACGCCGCACCGCCCCCAGCGTCCTCGGCGTGGTGTCGGCACTTCTCAGACAGTAGCAAGGGGAGGGGGGTGACGGAGTGACGGTGAGCGGAAACTCGATGGAACTCGATGGAACTCGAGCGGAACGTTAATGAGGAATAGTTTAGTTGATGGCATTTGTGACAACATTTGTCACAAAACGCCTCCTTTTGTACCAGCCGATATTTGCTACTGTTTTACCTCACTGTCAGGCATTTTCACTCTATTTGTACTACTTATCTTAAAAGTGTTGCCAGCTATCAGAAAATGTTCGGGTGCCTTTTTATACCTTCTGCCTTTGCCTATTTTGCACTCACATGACACTTCCCACTTGTCACATGAAGCAGGCGTTAAGTTTCCTGTTCCGATGGTTCAGATACTCGAATTGCTGAAATACATATTGTGCGTATGCGACAATGCTTATAAGTTGAGGAATGGGGCATTTACACACCATGCCCCCGCCTCCCTCAAGTCAAGCTGTCTGTCCAGCTTTTTGCCATCGTGCGTCACTGCTGGCTGTATTTCGCCCTTATCGCCGCGCAATATCCTTCGTTACGCTGCCGGGAAACCCGGCCCGCTGTGCCGGAGCCGTGCCTGCTGGCAGGAGACACGCGTCCGGCTCGACCGCCCGCACAGATCGGGGTCGCCACGTGTCTGATGGCACGCCCGCCGGTCCGCGGAGACGCGCGCGGCGCCGTGGCGGACGCCTCGTGATGTGGGGTAGAGCGCCGCGGGGCAGTACAGAGCGCCACGAGACGGCAGCAAGCGTCGTGAGGCAGGGCAGGGCGCCACGAGACGGCAGCAAGCGTCATGAGGCAGGACAGGACGCCACGAGACGGCAGCAAGCGTCGTGAGGCAG